TCTTTCGTATTCTGGGATTAGTTGCACTGAACTCGAGAGATCATTCTTTGTCAGATGTCAGAATTTATTAGATCTAAGCGGTTCTACACATACGACGGACACTGGACAACACTTAAACCATCAACAGCAGACAATCTACAAGTATAACAAAGCTAAGAAGCGTAGTAAGGAATCCAAAACCCACACATATCAGAGCTCTATGGTTAAGCCACGGAAGCACAGTACAATGACTGCTCTCGGATGCACGGTATAATGACTGCTCTCACCCTTTCCTTGTCCTCATGGGCCACCCCTCCGGTATAGTTTTCCCTGGATTGTTCTCACCACGCTTGAGTTGTGCCAAGAGGATTCAGGTTCTCTCTGGCAGTTGGCATCAGGGGCGTCCCCGCTGATGGGTGGGTTGTCGGGTCCGCAGGCCAGCTGACGGTGAGTCCGAGTCCACACAGAGGTATGTGGCTTACTTCCTTTTATCCTTCCCGGGCTTAGTTCATTAATCAGTGCCAGACCATAGCTGGACAATGGAACAGATGGTCTTAGGTGATAACAGTATGGATGCCAACCGGATGGTCAACAGAATGCTTATCAGTACATTCAGCAGCTATCAGTGTGCATGTTTAACAGTTGCACGTTTAACAGCTATCAGTGCGCACATTCAGCAGCTATCAGTACGCACAGTCAGCAGCTATCAGTACGCAATTCCAAGGTATCTAGATGCTTACAGTGTGAGTCTGCGGTGTCACTTCTCCTTTGCTGACTAGGTTTGCTCTGCACTCGTGCTCTGCACTCATGAGGCTACGGCAACCCCGCAGTGTGGTGGCTCTGGCCGTGGTGCACCCGGGGTTCCTAAACTCTTGGGGAGCCCCCCAGAGCAAACCCCTCTTCTACAGGCTGCACCATCCTGAGTCCCACGCTTGCCTGTGTGGCGCCTATCGTTTGCACAGCAGAGACAGGACAACTCTGTATTTAAGTGGCTTTTTCGTTCATTCTTCCTCTGTCTAGAAGCGTATAGCAGGGCCTGCCCGCGTTAATCGATTATCCTTTGACGTTTTCTCATCTCTAACCTGTCACTTGCTTACCTGATTGTGACCTCCTCAGAGAGAGGAGAAAAGTCAGATCAGCACTTGTTCTTTCCTGTGCGCTTCCATAGAGAAGTGGGAGCTCGTGCTGGCGTCCGAGGACGGCATGCCTAAGGTAGACGGGTCATCTGCGACATTTTCCACGCAGCTGTGCTGGGCTGTTCTTGCTAAGAGCATTTCCGAAATGCTAGTCCCAGATTTTCCCTGAGCAGCTACTTACAGTTATGCTAAACTGCACAGGGAATTTGTGTTACTGCATAATGTGAAGTAGGAGTTAATACAGCTTTGGCCAACGTGGAAGCAAGTTAACATTTGAACCCAGATAGTCTGAGATGAAAAGTTACTCTTCCTGGGAGTAACCAAATATCCTTAGTACAGTACTTACAGGGTGTGGGTTTTTTTTTTTTTTATCGCCTGCCTCGTGAAGCATCGACACCAGTGTGATTTTTGAGAAAAGAAATTTGTCTTCTGGTTCTGTTACGAGAGGAGGATTCTTGCAATAGGCAGTCACTCAGTTTCCTTTTCAGAAGTTGCCATCTCCTCTGTGCCTTAATTCCCGTTGTTGGCCAGCCACTCTTTTGGAGGACTTGCTAAACACACGGGATTGTAAGAAGGGTCTTTATGCTGTTTCTTTGCGTCTACCAAGAAATCAAAGCAGTGCACTGTCGGTAGGAGACGATCTCAAGAAAATAATCTATTCTCTTGTTTTTCCTCTCTGTAATAAATCTCGGTTAAATACGATTTCAGAACATTTGCTTTTCAGTTTTTAAAAACCAGCATTTAACTTTGCAAGCAGCTGAGCTGATTTCCCCCTCCCAAACACCGTCAGAGTTTCATGTTTTCTGAAATGTCAATGGCTCCATCTACCGGGACTCTATGTCAATACAGAGCCTGGGCCAGCTAAAGCAACCCTCTTGGCTGAGAAGCTGCAGGTCAGCAGCAGCGACGGTTGTTGCCTTTTTTAGTGGAATGGTATTTTGTAGCAATCTAGTCCTTGCTGTCAAGATTTTAACAATGTAATGTTTCACGCTGTTCCAAGGAGTTGTAAACACCACCCAGGTAAAAGAGAAAATGCAAAGTAAGTGCAGGGATAGAAGAGAGACATCGGTGAGCAGAGAGCTTTTAGCAATTCTTCAATAAAAATGGCCCTAAGGGTGCCAGAAAAGCCCAGGTTCGGCTCTGTTCCCGCCAGTTGCTTTTCTTGCGCGCAGCGGCTTTCTGGAAGGCTGGTCAGTGCTGCAGAGCTAAACGCGTGCGAGTGTTTACAGAGCCTCGACCCCCGGGAGAATCTCACATCAGGCAGCGGGAGTCTCGCTGCTGACCTGACTGGGCTTGGGGTAGTGCTGACTTCAAAGACAAGGCTGCTTGTGTTCCCTGGCTGGAAACCTCTGAACTGTCATCTCCCAGGGTGGCTTTCTGTGGGAGAGGGGTGTGCTTGAGCGGCACGTTTCCGAAGGAGAGCTCTGCTTTGAGTGCTCGCGTTTCCGCAGCCGAGAGAGCGCTGGGGGATGGCGTTTCCAGGCAGACAGCCTGCTCTGTAGGCAGTGACTTTTCCTTAGGAGTGTGAGAGTCATCGCTCTTGACTGTCATCCAGCAGGTGGGTTACGCTGTGGAGCTGAATCGCATGGCTTCGAGGAGGGACCAGCTCCAGGCCCCCCACCCCCGTCACAGGACCGAAGGGGCTAAGGCAGCCGTTGCTCCTTCTGAGCCCCACTTCTCCCAGTCTCCCAACCCCAAACGTTACTGTTTGACTTCATCGGGCTTATGACGTGCAGACTCACAGACCGGTTGGGGTTGGAAGGGACCTCTGGAGATCCTCTAGTCCCACCCTTACCTTGTTGTTTGCCAGGACTCCTTGCTGGCAGCTGTTCCTGTAGGATCCGCTCATCACACGCTCACTTCTCCCACCTATCGTTGAGTTTATGTCACTTCCGATCGACTTGGCCCTCAGCCTGTGGCCAAGACTACTGGCGTGTGGCAGCGTCCCCAAAAGAGCTGAATTTGCTCCTTGCCATAAAGTCTAGGGATTCATACCCTGGGGATGGTCAGGAGAGGGTTATTTTTCAAAGCTATTTCCTTTCCAGTGAGGTGAGCAGTATGGCAGCTGATGGCATTAATCATGAAATCCTTAATTGCTCAACTCTCCTTCCCTGCGGCCTACTAATGAATAAACTGCACTTCTGTGCAAAGGCGTCAGAGACTAAGAGTGTCCAGGAAATGGATGCAGTTTTATCAAGGCACAAACAGAAAACGACTGAGACTCGGTGGTGCCCCAGAACCCAAGGGCTCAGTGGAAATATGTCCATACTTTAGACAAGTGACCAAAGATGTCTTAAGAGTCCAAGAAAAGGGAATTAAGAGCTGGTAATCAAGGCAGCACTGTTCTCAGATGGCGCCGGCAGGCCTGGGAGCTCGTCATGGGGAGACAGTGATGCTGGCTGAGGCTTTGCTGAGCGAGCAGTTCAGCCAGCCTGTTGTTTGGGACCTCGGCCTTTGTCAGGGCTGCAGATGACTGGGCAGATTTGCCGGCAGCCTCTGCCTGGGCACCTCCCCATGGGAGTAGGGTTGGCAGGTGCTGGGGGGCAGCCCTGCAAGGGGATTGCACGGCACCTGCCGCTGGTGGCCCAAAACCGGCCTTGCACCTGCAGCTTGCTGCCTGTCCCAAATTGGACAGGCCAGCAGCTACCGAGAGGTCATACTGCCAGAAGTGCTGCATGGAGCTCTCCAGCCTGATTTGGGGCTGCATACTTGCCTGTGGGGACAGGAAGCAGCAATTTCTTTGACAGGTGAGAATCCAGCCCCATTCCTGAAGGGAGCAGGGTCTGGCTGGAGGGTGCCTTTGATTCCCTAGCTGCTGTTTTAAGAGTACGTCAGTGTGCGAATATGGGTTTACCCGTGACATTCATGCTGTGTAAACATGGGGGAGTCTCCACGTGAACACTGAAGTCCCTTGGTTAGCAGCTGTCTCCCTTTCTCCGTGCTCCCCACTGCAGCCTTCGGGTTCGTTGCCGGCTGTACGTTTATTTTGTCTGTTTGAATATTTATGTGTCCATTCAGGAAACAGATACTTTCCCGCTTTGTCTGTGGAGTCTCCCAGGTGTCACTGCTGTCCCCGTGAGAACGCTGACTTACGTCTTTCTTCTGTCCGTTGCTGTTGAGTTCAATCTTAACCGCTTTTTCCTTTCAAATACTGTAACAGAGGCTGTATGGCCAGTTGACCATCTGTGATCTGTTAGTCAAGTTCAAATCAGACAAATCGAGCTTACTGGGGCGTGATTTGTATATGCATTTTGTACTTCTACTGGTATCGTAGGAGTGTCATCTGTTTGGCCAGCATAACCCCAGCGCAGATGCAATTGCAGCAGTATAAAAGTGCTACAATCTACACTGGCAGGTTTCAGTGCTTATCTTGCCCTGTGGCCTTCCAGCGAGGTTACAGGTTTCCAAAAGTTCCTGTGTCTAGGTCACTCGCTAGCATATGCCAGCTTGCTCCTCCTGGGCATCCTATAGAGGAGCCCTCTGGGCAGTCCACAAAGTGTAGGGTTGAGCTATGGTATTGGGGAGAAAGGCACGACTTGAATCTTTAGGTAATCCCAGGATCCTTTTTGTCTCTATGCAAGTCACTCCTGGGAAGCTGGTTGTTCCTTGGTGTAAGGGAAATTATGAATGCTTTTTGGAGACACACCTCTTGCAGGAGCAATGCTGTTGTGTTACTGGAGAGCGACTGTGAGCGATGACTAATTGACCTTTGGAATAATTGCTTCACAAGGCGGGCAGAGTGAGTTATGTGCTAATCCCTGGTAGAACTAGCCTGCTGACGGTCTGTTCTCGGTTAGTCCTAAAAGGGCTTGCGTTTTTAAAAACCATGGACTGAAATCATTGTGCCAGGTCCCACAGTCTGGGCAGCTGGAAATGACCTTTTTCCCTCAGGGGAGAGGGGAAGTTCTGTTTAGCCTGACTAAAAAAAAAAAACCCTCTAAATCCAAATATTACCAGCCTCCCTCTGAACACTGGCATTTATTTAGCACCAGTGACCCATACGACGATATTTATTTTGTTTGGAGGAGGAGGAGTAACTTACCTTGAGGTAAGTGTTAAAGGAGGCACAGTCTTTGCCTCCGTGGGAGCAGTAATAAGATTGCTATTTCCAAGGAGCTGCTTATTTTTGTGCAACTTGTAGATAGGTAATTTCTTGGAGGTCTTTATTGCTTTGCAGGTTTTGCTGGAAAGCGGCAAAGAGGGCCAGAATTTTGTGTGGCCTAGGAGCTAACACCAAGAGTGATCATCTAATCTTTATTTCCTTTGGAAACCAGACGAGAAGCGCTTAAATCCGAATTTTGCCTTTAAGTGGGTTTGTACGGCTCTCACTGGAGACCTCTGCTGACCTAATTTGGGGCAAAGCCGTGGACGGTGTTAAGCGGGGTGCGTGCGGGCTTTGAAGCTTGCTCTTTCCTAGATGTTTTCTGGAGCCCTTAAGAGCTAGAGTTGTGAGGTCTCCTGAGGCTGTCCTAGGGATGGGTGTTTTCTCAGGCTAGCGGGTGTTTTCTCAGGCTAGCAGTTGTTTTTAATATAGTCAGTCTTTCCAGATCTCGTAAATGTTATGCGCTTTGATGCAGGTAGTGAGTTTTAAATGGAACGCACTGACATACAGAAATGAAGTCTATTTGGAGATATCATTACTCTGGGAGGTACAGTACGGAGTTTATGTCTTTGGCAACGGTGTTGACTTGAAAGCTTTCGGAGGAGAATTTCCAAGGCATTTCTGGGATTTGGAAACACTTGGCTCATTAATTTTAAGGTTGATGGAGAGTCGAGAGTATTCTGCAGCTCTTTAAAGCTAAACACATGCCTACACGCGTACAGAAATGGAGCCTCATCGTTCGTGTCGTTGTCTAAATATTCTGCTTTCCCACCTAGAGCTTCTGAATGCAGAAATGGCTTTTAGTCAAACGCGCGAGTATTTTCCAGAGACAAACCTCTGCTGAAGCGAACGGCATATTTGTTTGAGTGAGCGCTACTGGCAGTAGAATCTTTTCCAAAATGACCCAAAACATGCTAGCTGCCTCCCCCCTAAAACACTCGTCCCACGTGTTTAAATTGACTGAAGTGAGACAAATGGCTGCTGATGCAAACAGGAACAGGATCTGGAGCTCGCCCACAGTCTGAGTGGCCAGATGGCATAGCAGAGGTGGCCGTGTGGGCTGGGTGGTGATGGTTCCTGCAAACTCCCTCTGCTCTTAAATCCCTCCGTGAACACTGCTGTAATCTTGCTTCCAGGCATAGCCTCCTTTCCCTCATCGTGTTTATCAGGTGAATGAAATTAAGCATTCAGATAAGTATTTGCAGGGTTTGAACTTGAAGTCTTTTTTTGTTCCCAGACAACTTGTCTCTGGGTCCTGGTCCAAAGGCCGTTAAAGTTAAGAGCGGTCTTGACAGGAGCTTCAGCAAGTTTTCTGTGAGGAGGTATTTGATGATGGGAAGTGCAGTATACATTTCTCACTGCACGGAAATAACCTGAGACTTGAATCCTCCTTTGAAAAAACTGTAGTGGTGCAGGCACTCGAAATAACATATGCCCGTCCTTGGAAGTTCCCTATGGATCATTGCTGATTTTTTTTTTCTTTAATTTTCCCTTTTATTTCCCTATCTCCTTTCTTAGGTGAATGAAATTTACCACGATGAATCCCTCGGTGTTCACATAAATGTCGTGCTGGTCCGAATGATCATGTTAGGGTATGCAAAGGTAAGCAAGCCTCGGAACCAGTTTCCCTGTTTGTCGTCTTCGTAATTATTTTCCAGGCGAATCGTAGGAATGGCTGTGGAGACGAGTCTACTGCAGGGCTAGTTCCAGAGAGCTGCTTTCCCTGCTTGGCATGTTGTCAGTGTGCTTGTGGCCTCTTTGCTGAGGCTGCCCATGAGCGTGCCTTTTGTGGCAGAGGTGCAGGACTGGCTGCCGAGGCACTTCACAGCTCATTCATCCGATAGGAGCTGAAAGACTGCAGCAACCTGATTTTTCTGTCCTGTCAGATGGATTTAGCCCAGTGGAAAGCTCCCGTTCCACTATATCCTTTTATTTTGCTGCCAAGTCTCCGTATTTGAACAGCACGTCGCAGTGACTGGTGCTGTGAGAGGAGGGGCGGCTGTGCCTGTGAGGGCTCTTATGTCAAGAGAGAGCAGTCATGAGCACTGCCCTCCTCTTGCCGATGCTCTTGGGGGACTGGCTGAGAGGCAGTGGGGCGCACCTCGTCCCGCTGCAGCTGCCCTCGGAGCAGAGCTCAGCCTGCCCGGACCGACAGCCTGAATTCTTGCCGTGGGGAGTCCTCAGGAAATTAAATCGGTTGAGTAGAAAGGATGGTCTTGGTTGACAAACACAACTTGCTGGTGCAGCGCCTCCAAGCCGTCTGCTGGGGTAGCTGTCGTCTTTTCTCATTGTTGCATGCCATCCTTCTCCTGGGTCACAGCACGCTCCTCCGCTCGTTGCCCCAGATAGGACTCACAATGCTGTCTTGATTTCCTTGCTCAGATGCGCTCAGAGAGTTTGGAAATAAACCCTTGTCAAATTGTTCAGCATGAGAGAGAAACTCTAATGCTGTTTAAGGTTTGATAAAGACCATATGGCTCCGGTTTAACTCTCACATTAAATTTGGGCAAGGGAAAATACCAATTTGATATTTCTGTTGTCATTCGGTTTGGTTGCTTTCCTTTGAACCTACTGAGCTCGGAGGCACACACTGTAGCAAAAGTCTGACAGGATCACATGGTTCCTCTGTGTTAATCAGTACAGCTGTACTGGAGTTACAGCGCTTTGCACCAGCTGGGATGTTGTCCTGTGTGTTTATATCATTCCCTTCCTCCACCCAGGCTGTATGTGTGCTACACTCTCCTTTATCTCAGCTGAGTCACATTGTCTTCCAGCAGTCAAGAATGTAAACAAGTCCCAACAAAGGAAATAGAAATGTCCTTATTTAATCCTTACCTCATGTCGTGCGTTTCTGCTGCACGTTACAGGCTTTCTACGAAAGGGCGTTTATTTCCATAGATGACGTGAACGCTCATGATCACATCTTCCAAAAAATCCCTCAGATGCGCTCTTACACGGGCACGGACACTGTTACGTATCCCCAGAGCGGGTATAAAGTGCCAACGCTCTGGTCTGGCAGGTCTGGTACACCTGGGGACCAAGGACACTTAGGCCAAGAGGGAATATCAGCTCCCTGTTACGGATTGGGTCACGTCAAGCAGTACTCGTTTCCTTGCCTCATAGGAAAGAGGGCCAGCATGACTTGGAGTGATGGGGAGCGGGGAGGAGAGAAAAGGGGACCTGCCTGGTGCTCCAAGAACAAAACTGGTCTAACTTCCTTACCTTCAGGAGCTCCTGGGTCTCATGTGTTGCTCTTTCAGTCCATTAGCTTGATTGAAAGGGGGAATCCCTCAAGAAGCCTGGAGAACGTTTGCCGCTGGGCATATCAGCAGCAGAAGTTGGATCCCAGTCACTCTGAGCACCACGATCACGCCATCTTCTTAACCAGGCAAGATTTTGGGCCTGCTGGTATGCAAGGTAATGCAGCTGACCTGTAGCAGAAGTATCTGGTCTTGGGGTGTTTTGGCTAGTGCTTGACAGAAAAGAGAAAAATGTGAAAACTGCATTGCTGTATGATCCTGAGACAATAAGGAATCCAGGCCATGGTTCAGCAAATCCTTAAGGAAGTGCTCAGTTTTAAAGATCTGATGAAACTTGTTCCTGTTCAGAAAAGCATGTGTGCTCATAATAACTTTCAGTCACCCAGTTTCCTGCCTTGGCTTTAGAAAAGACGCACGTGGACAGTCATCGCAGCCTGAGTAGGTAGCTGTTACTCTGCTGTGGAGAAAAACTACTTTCTTTCATTCATTTTAAATACCACCCCCCCCCCAAAAAAAAAAAGCAAAGAATGTCCTTGCCATTTAATCTGACTGCAACAAATAAAGTTTTTGACCTGAGAGGTCTAAGTAAATAGCAGTTTACTTTCTTCAGAGACCAAGTGTTTGTGCGTATGGTGGGGGGGAACACTAGGAACTCTCAGTGCACTGCGCAGAGTTGCAATATATTGGTGGGTTTTTCTTTCCTTGCTTCTCATGGAGTTACATTGCAGAACGTCCTTCCTGTAATGATTTCCCCGGACCCAACAATCACTTCCTCTCTTGGGCTGTTGTCAGTGGTAGGCTGAAGAGGTAGCATGGGGATTCCTCTTAAATATGACATTGTAGTTCTATGTGCTTCTTGCTTCCACTCCCAGGTGGAAAAAAAGGAGGAGGAAATGGAGTAATTTCTGAGGCAAAGCTGTCCTATACTCAATGTACTGGCCTCCAGTGCAATAAATCTAACATTAGTCGTTCAGAAATCCCGTCTTCTGTGCTTCATTTTCCCCAGACATGCCAGCTGTGCCGCTCCTTCTCTAAATGTTGCCCCTGTCAGTCCTTAGAGAGAGCCTCGTAATAAAACCCAGGAGCTTCTCCTGCCGCTTCAGTCACCTGTGCAGCTGCAGCGCTGTGGCTGGGTCTGCGGCTCGATTCCTTCTGCCAGCCCCTGTGGTCTCCTCTAGCGCTATGCCCGTCCTCTATGCCTTTGACTCCAGTCCTGCAACTTGTCTGGGAAGAAGGCGGCCCTGTCCATTACTCAGTCTTGGACAAGCAGTGTGATATGTATAACTTAACATGGTGGCAGTAGTACATGCGGCTGTAATGTCCAGAGTTTACAAACCTTTGCTTAGGACTTGGTAAGCATGGCTTGCTTTCCGTTAGCTATGGGCTTTAGTAAGAAAGCTTTTGTGCTTATATACTGGCGAACCCACACTGGTTGAAGCACCTTTCTGGTTCCCCAAATTGTTTTTTGAGAAGTGCCCCATGCTTTGGCTGTCCAGCTGAAGACGTCTTAGATGTTCATGTTCAGCACCTGCATCCTCCCTTCACCTTCCACTGAGGTAAGAGAGCCGAGCCCTTCTTCAGGTCTGGACTGGCATGCCTGAAGCAAAACTGGTAAGGAGGAGATGTAAGGCAGACCTTGCTGTCTTCAGAAAGATTTCAGCTTTTACTGAGGAAAAGACATGCAATATGTACCGGGCTCTATATATATGAAAGTATTAATATGAACACAAGGTGGGGGGGGGGGGAAACTCTAGCTCTCCCTTTGAATTGAACATAAATGTCACTTTGTGTATTTCTGGTGATAAAAGTGTGAGTGCTAGAAGTGCCAGAAATAATACAGCTGTCTGGGGAATCCAGCCCAGTTTGTCAGAGCTATTTAATCTATTTGACAGTAATTGTAAGGAGACAGAGAAAAGTGACCATCAAGGCAAAAGAATCCCGAGTTGTTCTCAGGTAGGAAAGCTTATTGGGCTGTCTAGTTTAAAACAAATCTAAAACTAATCTGGGGAAAAAACCAGACCCGATTTCTCTCAACAGGGTATGCTCCTGTCACTGGCATGTGTCATCCAGTCCGAAGCTGTACACTCAACCATGAGGATGGGTTTTCATCAGCCTTTGTTGTTGCTCATGAAACTGGCCATGTGTAAGTCTAACTTTTAAAATGAGATTAGCCACCCAATATGGTGCTGCATCTCCTGTTTGCATAAACCAGTTGAATTTCCATTAACTATATTGCAGCTGTCCTATTTCTTTGTCCATCCCCTTGGAATGCATCAGTGGTTTAAGCAATGAAGAAGTAAGCGGGAAGAAGGGAAGGGGAAGAAAGAGGGAATTGGCATGTTGTCTGGTGAGGGTGAGAAGGGAGTCATTAAGGGAGAAACCTGACAGGCCCAGGTGCGGTGTCTCAATTCACTGCGTTCAGCGGAGACAGTAGCTTGCCAAGCATCATCAGCTTTTCCCTTCTCATTGCAAGTGAGAATGCATTAGATTTGGCACTTCTTAAAGAGAATGAGAAAGTATTAGGTTGGGACTAGCTGATTAAGCAAAGATCTCCGTTAGCTGCCTGGGGGAATTAATATTGAGCACTGACCTGATTTTTTTCCTTTAAGTAGTGCCAGCTCCTTGTTTGTTTGTACACCTCCGTAGGGTTCTCTAGCAGTGTCAAAGTAGCACAGAAGATTAGCCAAGTTTGATTACCGAGTCACTTGCATGTTAAGCTGTACCAGGTGCACACTTGCAAGGTGTAACATGCTAAGCACATGAGCTCTACGAGTAAATAGGTGCTCTTGAGAAATGAGTGTACAAACGTGAACGGTTCTGTGTCTGAACAAACCGCTCTCTGATGAACAGAGGTGGGGTTTTTTTCCCGTTATCCCAAAGCATGAGGAGAAATCATCATTTAGTTACCTCATTTCGGGTAGGAA